TCTCTTCTTTCTTCTTCTCCTCCTCCTCCTCCTTTTTCGTCTTTCTTCTACCTCTCCTTTCTTCTACCTCCTCCTCCCTTCTCCTTTTCTCCTCTGCTCCTTTGCCTTCCCCTCTCCCTCTTCTTCTGCCTCTTCTCCTTCTCCCTTCTCTACTTTCTTTTTCTTCTCCTCGTTTCCTCTCATCTTTTTTTCTATCTTTCCTTCTTCCTGATTTTCTTTTTTCTACCTCTTCTTCTCCTTCTCCCCTCTCTAATTTTCTTTTCCCTCTTCTTCTTCTTCTCCTTCCCTTCTCATCGTTTCTACTCCCTCTCCTCCTCCTCCTTCCCTCTCATCTTTCTTCTCCCTCTTCCTCCTCCTTCTTCATCTTTCTTCTCCCTCTCCTTCTTCACCTTCCCTCTACATCTTCCTTCCCCCTCTCCTTCTCCTCCTCCCCCTCTACTTTTCTTCTTCTTCCCTCCTCCCCTCTAACCTCTACTCTTTCGTTCCCTCTCCTTCCTTTCCTTTCCCCTCCTCCTCCTCCTTCCTCTCTTCTTTCCCTCCTTCTCTCCTTCCTCTACATCCCTTCCTCCTCCTCCTCCCCTCTCATCTTTCTTCTCCTCCTCCTCCTCCTCCCTGCTCCCCTTTCACCCTGCGAAGTGTAAAGTTACAATTCACATTAACCAGAATGAAGCCTCAGGGGTCACGCCTCGGACGGGCACTATTAAACAATGGTCTTTATTGAGCTAATGAAGCACTGGAGGTTCGAACCGGCTTCGCTCCGTGTCCTCGGTGTCCAGGCAAATACTACTGTGTGGAGTGATGGGTGCTCCCCTCCCTTGTTCTCCATCAGGCACCCCCCCTTTGTTCTTCATCAGGGCGCTCCCCTCCCCTTGTTCTCCATCAGGGCACCTGCCCCCCCCCACTGCTCTCCATCAGGGCGCTCCCCACCTCTTGTTCTCATCAGAGCGCCCACACTTGTTCTCCATCAGGGCGCCTCCCCTCCCCCTTGTTCTCCAGGGCGCTCTTCCCCCTGTTCTCCACCAGGCGCTCCCTCCCTCCCTTGTTCTCCATCAGGGCGCTCACCCTTGTTCTCCATCAGGACGCTCCCCTACCCCTTGTTCTCCATCAGCACCTTGGGAGGGGGGGGGGGTTATCGACCGGGTCACACACTTGGTCATTAAGCACGAGTTGTGGCTTCTGGGTCTCGGAGTTCGTCCTTGGGGGATTCAAGTTCGAGGCTGTCCTTGATTTTTTTGGGGGGGGTGTTTTGTTTTTTACGCTTTATATTATTTATTTATTTTATTTATCTATTATTATTATTATCATTTTATATTCTTTATTTTTCTTTTTTTGGGGAGGGGGTTATTTCGTGTTTTTGTGAGTCTTGGGTGTTTTTTTTTGAGTCAAAGGGTGTCCTTTTTATATCCTAGGGTTTCCTTTCTTGGGTTTAGATGTCTTTGTGGATCCTAATGTGTCTTTTGGAGTACTAGGATGTCTTCCTGAGTCACTGACTGTTCCATCAACTCCTTATCATCTCCTCGAGTCCTTAGATGTTCCTGTGCACTAGAGCGTCCCCGAGTCCTACAGTTTCCTTTGAGTCCTGTGATCGTCTAGAGTGTCTGAGTCTCACTTCTCGAGTCCTATTGCATTCTTGAGTTCGAAGGCGCCTTTGAATCCTCCCTGAGTCCTAAGATCCATTCGAGTCCCACGGCGTCGTCCTCGAGTCCTCTCCGAGTATCCTTGAGTCCGAGGAACTCCTTGAGTCTCCCAGGACCTCCTCTAGGACCTCCTCGAACGGCTGGAGCGAAGGGGACCGTTCCATCCGCTGAGACAACATAAACATAACCAAGTATGCCGCGCTATGCTACGAGATATGCGGTGCGAATGTTTGGGATCCTATATTTCCGGGGTCCTGTGTTTAGCTTCCGGGGTCCTAGT